GTATGTAAGAATATAAAGTTTTTCACGTGCTGTCCATTGACGTTTTTTTATTTGAAGTCTTGTCATAGGTGTATATCCTATTTGATTCATATTTTAACTATAAAAACTTTGGAAATTAACTATTATAAACTTTGGGATTGACTGTTATAAACTTTGGGGATTGACTGTTAAAAACTTTGGGGGTTAAACTTTGGGGATTGATTGTTAAAAACGCGACAAATTTAAATAAGATTTCATATTCGCGACATATATAAATCAAAGCTTGGGGGGGTCTTTTACCAGACAAATTGTTCTATATTATGTACCCCCCATACACAAGATCCCCCATATAGTATACCCCCCGCTATACAGTATACCCGGGGGGTATAAATCAAGAAAAACCGGTTTAGATAGTAAGGTACCCCGGGTACTTTCTATGGCGAAATACGGTATATGGAGTTGGGTGAGAGTTGGTATAGCAAGCTTTGGAGAGATTGTTTTTCTTTGTTGTATTAAGTGTTGGTTGTGGTATTAATATAGGTAGGTTTTCTGTAGATAGGTTTTCTAGATCGTGGGTCATATCTATTTAGGCAGTGCCAAATATTAAGTCTGTAACCGATTTGAGGATAGATTGTCTCTGTAACATTGTAGTAGGTAACTCCGTAAGGAGTGGGGCGAGTGTATTGAGGGCCTCATTGGTTTCTTCTAGGTCCTTTATTTTGTTTGTAAAGTTTACTTTCATATTTGTAGCTTAAACTAACTGGTGGTTCTGGTATCAAATACTTAGGTTTACTAAACTTTTTCCTTGTTTTGTTTACTTTTTTTTAATTTTTCTATTGATTTATAGATTTACAGAAAAGAGTTTTTAGAATTTGAAGTTTTGTACAAAATTGTTTTTAATTTTTGTATTTATAGTATCAAATTTGAAGTTTTGTATAGATTTTTATTTGATTTATTATTTAATTTTTTTGCAAATCTGTACAGAACTGCAATAAAAAATTTTTCTTAATAAAAGTAATTGTCTATATAAACATTATATAGAATATAATGATATAGAAGCTGCTTTACTAGGTAAAAAACTAGATATCTAATTTGGTTTAGACTACTTACTTTTACTATATTGTTTAAAGATATATATGATATTAGCAAGAAAATATAAGTATATTTATATTTACATAATGAGAAAATTTTAAAACCTTTAGAGATAGGCTTATTTTTTATTCAGATTGTATATATATTTCTTCCAGAAAACTAAATCATCATTTCATCTACTGAACTATTTGTTTCTAGTATATAATATACATAAAGCAATATAAGGTTTCTAGATTTAGTTTAGTTTAGTTTAGATTCAATAAACCTAAACCTAAATCTAAATATAAACTACAAAATTTGCAAATTATTGAACCTGAATCTAAACTGAACTTTGAATTTATGAACCTAAACTAAATCTGAATTTAAAGTTTTGGTTTAGTTTAGGTTCAGTTCAAGGTTTATGAATATGTTTAGGTTTAGTAGTAATTTAATAACAAAATATAGTAAAATTTTTTTTGTTTTTAGAATTTTCAAATTCAAAGTTTTATAAAAAAATCTTTTTTCTTTACTAAGTAACTCTATTTTCAACTTCTAATAAAAATTATAGAGAAGTGTCTTGCAATCAAAATGCTAGTTAAAGCATTAAAATTAGACTAGTAGATTGTGAGATATAAATATTTAAGTTTTCACGACTATATATTTTATATAAATAAAGAAGAAACAAATAGATATCAAGACAAAAATACTTATATCTCATAATTTACTATGCTAATTTTAATAATTTAACTGCTATTTTGATTGCAAGACACTCCTCTATAGCTTTAATTAAAAGTTTAAATTAATAATATTTTGTATAATTATATTAGTAAAATTATAAAATATATTATACAATAATCCTCAAAATCTTACTAATTAATTATATCTTTATATTTTAAGTAAACTTGTTTTACATATAAAATTATACTATAATGGTATATGTTTATATTATAATTTTAAATTTTTAAAAAAATATTCTTAATTTTGAAAATCTTGATCAAAATTCAAAATTAAGCATATTTTTTTAAATTTTACAAATATAAAGTAAATATATGTCAATATGATGTATTTTTATATGTAGAACAAGTTTATTTAGAATATAAATATAGAATTAATTAATAAAATTTTAAAAATAATAATATTTTTTATAAATTTATTAATAAAACTATAAAAAATTATATGATCCCAAAATTTTATTAATTAATTATATATTTATATTTTAAAGTAAACTTGTTTTATGAAGTGTGTAGTGGCTTAATAAAGTGGTCTAGTCATCACCTCACCAAGTAGCAGGTTCAAAGTTTGAATCTTATAGATGATGTTTTCAAAAAATAAATCTGTATTACAGTAACAATTATCTATCAATCAGTTGGATCCAGAATCTGTAATCTTGGTTGTATTATCTAGTATGAGAGCTTTGTATATAAATACCAAGAAACTGAAATAATCAAAACCTATTTAGAAAGACCCGAGTAAGGAGTAACTACAATCTTTGATGATGCTATAAAAAAGATCTAAATTTGGAAGCTAGAATCAAAACTGAAGAACCAAATAACAACAAAATTCTTTAATAAAGAGATTTACCAACCTAACTACTAATTTAGAAAAATTAAAAATTTGCAAAGCTATTATGAAATACACCAATCCTGGCTAGCAAGTATAAGAAACTGGTAGTGAGGGCCCTACTTACCAAAACCAGAGGTTATAGAAATCAGGTAGAAAACCAGTTAGATAAAAAAATACCAGGTATATTTAGAGAACTACCTACTAAATTGAAGAAAAAGAATATGTACTAAAAAATTATATACCAAAATAAGACAAGAAACTGGCATCTAAAGCCAAGCCAAGATTGAATCTTCTAGGTTACTGGTTGGAAGTAAGAGATAGACTAATAAAGAAATAACAGAAAAAGAAAAAGTCTAAATATAAGTACTGGGATTGGGAAGCAAACTTTATAAGAGCAAAAGCAATTAAATAGATAACAACTCAACTGCAAGTAGGAGCCTTAGCAACTGTATAAAACCAGATTGGCCTAAATAGGATAAAGAAAGCTCTGGTAGATTTACTTTATGGATAGCCATGTGTTCGCTTAACAGAAAAATGCAAGCCAGTAATTAGTCAATGCAAACCCAGAATAAGTTATGGAAGTCCTAAGGCAGGGTGTGCAATCTAGAGAAACAGGCCAGATAGTAGTTCTCGAGTTAGTATGATATGCTATAAAAATAGTTAGGATCAGAAGGTTTAAACAGGTAACTCCCTAGTTGGGTTATAGATATAGCATCTAGTGTAGAACTTATAAACAGACTACTTAAATAGATACTCAAAAGGTGCATGTATTGCTAGTTGTATCTTTATTGTAACTATAATAGTAAATGATTACTAATAAAGAGTTCCTTATGGCCAAAGAGGTTATCTTAATACTGAAAAAAAAAAATAAACTTGTTCTATGTATAAAAATTTATTATATAAGCATATATTTACTTTAATCCGTAAAGTATGGTATTACAATATAAAAAATAGTCAAAATCATTTAGCCAAATCGGCCGAAATCATTCGACACATTTTTTACCAGGTGTTTCATAAAAACAACTGTAGCGTTAAGTATACAGTGTGGCCGTCAAAAATTAGCGTGTTTGTCGTACGTACGTACGCACAGCTACAAATCTGCATTACCATATATTACGTACTACTCACGCAATTCGTTGTGCATAACCTGTACTATGTTTTTGTAATTAACTGATATTGAATTAAGCCATTGTTCGACCAAAAAAAAAAAAAAAAACCAAGGGATTTGTAAGAACTTTTTAACAATTAATGAGATTTAGAGATTTATTCTATTCACAAAAACAGTCAAATTTACGAATTATTATCATAATAATACATATTGTTAAAAATAAAAAAGAAAAGTAGATAATAATATGAATGCTACGTACACAGAAACTTAATCTCTTAATGTGCAGTAACTATGTAGTTACGATTAAATTTAATAGTACATAATTATGTAATTACTACGTATGTCGTTACTATGCAGTTACTGCATATTATTAAGATATTTAAGTTTCTGTAAAGTATGATTGATATAAGTATTTAAACTATAAAATTGCATAACGAACATAATGTTATTAATTTGTATGAACTTCACGATGTTCTTGAACCAAGGCACATAAACAACAACAACAATGAGTACAATGGTCACCGAGACAACTCCCCTATTTATATATTTAATTGAAGTAAAAGAACAACATATCGTGAATAGAGTGTACAATATATTATACAGTAGATTAATATTAACGTTAGCATAATACTTACTTCAATATTATGTCTTGCACGAATGTCGCTACGGTTCATACCTCCGACAAGCCAACTAAGACCGCAACCCATAGTGATATAGTAAAGAAAACCATTACAACAACAACTGCCTGGATCATTATTCAATTTGGCTTTGGTTTCACCCTATAATAATAAATTAAGTGAATTATTGTATTCGATTTAACGAGAATACAAAAATACTTACAAATGTAATGCAAGGACAACAACATGTTTTCAAACCTTTTTTTTGAGGGGAGAAGTTAGACCACAACCAAAAATCAATAAATTAAAGACGTATTAATTAATTTAAGTTCAAATAATTTTATATAAAATAATTACAAAGGCAACAGGCCGAGAAACAATCGCACAATCCATGTTTCCACTGTCTTGGTCCTCCCGGCCCTCTCTTTTCATGTATAATTTGAGCACCTGTAGTAGTCATTTGGCGGGTTCCTTGGTAAGCCATAACTATTTATTATTATTATTATTATTATTATTATTATTATTATTTTATAAATGAGACTTTTATTATGTTTATTATATTCAAAGCGAGCGAAACTAAGCTTGAATATCTCTATAGGAAAGAATCAGGATATTTAATGAAAATTATATTTAAATTTTGCAATACGCGTTTTTATTTACTATTGGTACTACCGTTATTATATGTATTACGCAAAATGAAAACATTTAAATATTTTCTATTAATATTTCATTGTTTTCAAAAAATGATACGTGGTCTGAATTTTATTGAGAAATGATTTTTCAATGACTATGTTTACATTTTTCATTTTTTTAATATTTCCGTTTATAGTTTATTCTTTCCTCCTTTATATCTGCAGTATATATTGAATGGGTTTTTTTGGTATACAATTTGCTATATAGGCAAAATAAAAGTTACAAGTACGTGCGCACGTACGTACGGGTAGAGAATGTCGATATTTGGTTGCACCCAAAAATGGTATATTCTGTTGCACGATTAATATCAGGCATAAATAAATAATGATATGCCATTGTGTGAGATGCTGCTATCTTCCTCATGCGATAAATCATATGCTATATTTCGCGTAAGACGAACTAAGCTATCACAATTCCTAGAATCTACTCTATATGAAATTATTTCACACATTGCGTGAGATCACATGATATATAAAATATATGCTAGGTTTATCTCGCGCGAGTCACATCTCTAGTAACAAGCTATTACGGTTACCTATCATTTTCCTCGACGGACATTTCCCTACAGGCCATTTACCAGACATCACAAATATACACCTGCAATTAATCAAATGTCAACCCCTAACCCTATGTGATAAATGAGCTGTTATCGTTGCTACACACTTTTCTGCAACAACAGGACCAAAATTATACTAAAAGAGGTTACATTGGAATTTCTGACCTTTTTATCCACATTTCTTGAATTTTAATTGGCTGGAAATTTTCTTAACTAATCAAATTTGCAGAATTTGTCGAAATTTCGATTTTAACCATTTTTCTTTGTTAGAATTATTCGGAGTCCTGTAACAGCTCTAAAAAAAAAACATTGAAACACGCGTAACTTTGGATGCATTTGGCTATTTAAAAAGCCAGGTGTAATTTGATACTATGGTAAATAAATATAATAATTACTAATTGTCACTATATAAATCTCTTAATGCGCAGTAACTGTATAGTAACTATGTAATTACGATTAAATTTAATAGTAACTATGTGATTACTACGTCGTTACTATGTAGTTACTGTATATTAAGATATTTAAGTTTCTGTAAAGTACCAGTGGTGGTAAATGACCTGGTCATTTGCAAATTTTTCAAATGACCTCAAATGACCCCAAAATGACCGGTCATTATCAGTCATTTCAATTTTGGGTCATTTGGAAATGACTCGTGACCAAGTGACCACGGTCATTTAAAATGACCGAG